CGAGCCAGAGCAAGGAGGAAAGACTAAAATGTGTGAGAGAGATAGAAAAGAGAGTGGTTTCCTGAGGGAGGCACCTTTATTTTCTGGATGTGCGAGGCAGACATTAAGCTACATTGACTAGCACCACTGGCCCCTTTCTGACCCTCTCTGGCTTCCTCTCAACTCAGGCTAACGCTGATTCGTCACTGTATCCATACTCTAAGTGGAGAACAGCAACACGAGAACAACAGTGATCTAATAACAGTACACATCAGCAAAAACAATAAAAAGCAGAATACAGTAAAGCACGAAACACAGGACAGCAGCACCTGAGGGTTAAACTCATTCTGTCTTTGTGTAGACACACGGGTTGCTGTGTTGCTGCCTCAGACCTCCGCCCTGTGTCAGTCCACCAGCTAATTGTAACTTCCTTTGCCCAGAGGCTGCAGGGAGCCTCTCTGCTCAGAGAACAACACAGACCTCTGAAATGTCAATGAAAAGAAGTCAGCTGCAAAGGACTACAGATTTGATATACGATTCTGTGTACAATACACAAGTGCAGAACTGAACTTGATTGTAAGTATGCTACCAAAATAAAACACAAAATATGCATTTTTCAAAACACTGGCAGCTTATCAAGAAAGTGATGATGCAGCTCATGGGTGTATGTCTTTTCTGTAGTGATAAACAACCTAAACAAGTACAACAGTAAGACGATGGGTTTTTTATCATAATAAAATGCTGACTTTTATGTATACTATCTATTTGGGAGTTTAGTCTAGGTAGCCATCTAGGTGCAGGGGATTATGGGAAAAAACCCTCTGGTAGTCCATCTGTTTAGGCATGTCCCAGTACCCTGGACACAACACTGCACTGGCACGCATACATACGCTTGTAAACATGCAGTTAAAGCAGTGCATCCACACAGACAGCAAGTCCCACAAGACAAAATACAAAACCCCCCCTAACTGCCCAGCCTCAATAAAACAACAACTAAAAAAAAGTAAAATAATCACCCTGCGGTTGTGTGCTTCTGCCAACAACACAAGTTGCAGTTGTGTAGGTTCATTGAGAAAACAAAAATCCGGGGAAAACAGTAAAATCTTTAAGTCCACATTCACATGCTCGGTCATTTAAGCTGATTCTTATTAGATCACAGAAAAATGTAGTTAGTAAACATAGAGTATGTAGAATATGTAGCGTCTATGGCTGCAAAGATAAAGAATCCATACAATCACCACCAATTCAAGATCATCAGATCATCAGAAAATATTAACACCAAGTCAGCATCTGTCCAAAAATGTAAACGTTGATCTTCAAACAAAGACACTGGAAGTCTGTCAAAATGAAGGGTGCTGAGGGGAACACAAGCTTTACGGCTGAATTTTAATTTCTGGGGTAATTTATATCTAAAAATCATCAAGACAAATGTATCATTGTTCAAAGTTTACAGTAACAGTGCAAGTAGTCTAGTAACCTACTCAAACATAAGACAATATATGGATAACACCTGAATAATAGCATGTTAAGGAAGGAAAGACTGTGTAAGTTTCAATGACTTTTAGTGACTGGCAGAGATTATCATGCCTGGTTTGGATGTCGTAAACATCCAAATCCTAATAATTGTATCTCTATTTGAAGTGGGAGTTTCAGCCAAATTTAAGAAGTTGTCTGGTGGCGCAGGTAGTGCGCACACCCCATGTACAGTACGGACGCTAGTGTTCCAAGTGGGCGATCCAGGTTCGAATCTGACCTGTGGCACCTGTCCCGCATGTCATTTCCCACTCTCTATAAAAAAATAAAAAAAACCTTTAAAAAAAGAAAGAAATTCTCTAAATGTTTTCACAAGATGACAAGAATGTGCCAACAAAAGTAAAACATGAAACCATAATGCCACAGGTCATGTCTCAAAAAAAGGTCTGCCTCGATATTATAAAAAAACAGGGAGGAGAGATAAATGTTAAATAAAATTAGTAGAACTGAGAGTCGTTGATCAAATCCACCCATAAAAGGAGGAGATGAGATCAAATTGTAGGGGGCGGAGAGAAGACAGATTGAAGGATGGAGCTCTGTCCGCCCAGCTAAAAATGAATGGCAATCCTTCATTTTCTATCGCCGCACCGATTAATTGACGAATGTGCCACATTCATAATACAGCCAGCTCTCTCCACTTAGGACATTGACTCACACCTCCTCAGCTTATGGTCTAAGAAAGCGATCAATCTCGCGCCTTCTTCGTCTCGCTTTCTCTCCTCTCTTTGGGCTCCTCGATTACCTGGCTAAATATAACTTCCATTCCTCTGTCTTTAGCCAGGAAATGAGTCCAGCATTCAATAACTGGCGGTGAATTAAGAAGGAGATCTCCAGAAATGATTGATTGATTATTAATTAAATCCCTAATGTGCCTGATTGATCTACAAGGGGATGTGATTGTCTGAGGAGGAGAACATGACAGACGAAAAGGGTGGAGGATGTTTGGGGGGGTAAAAAGTAGTGTAAAGGCAACAGGATCCATATTGTGTTATGTGAGCATGTGTGTGTGATATTACAGTGATTTGATGTAACAACTGGAAGGTGAACCGTTGTTTACATAATGTTGCGGTCTAGAATAGCTGAGATAAAAAGGAAAAGAAAAGATAAAAAGAGAGAGAGAGATCCACATCAAATGCCACTGGGAGCAGCACATGCTGGCTGGTCTTTCTGTCTTTCTGTCTGTCTATCTGTCTGTCTGTCTGTCTGTCTGTTTAGCCTTGAAAAATCCCAGCACTCGAAGCCAGACTACCACAGAATTCATGCCCACGCCACACAGACACGCACACAAACAGACACACACACACACACACAAACACACTGTGGCCTGTTCTATCCTACGCTATTGATCTGCACCCCACTCTTCATTAGAAAGAGAGATTCAAAGGCAACAAGGAGCAGTGAGACGTGTTGTGTGTGTGTGTCGGTGTGTGTGTGTGTGTGTGTGTGTGTATGTGCAGACAGCTCACATGTGTGTTCACAAGCATAAGTGTATGATCAAGGGAGTTCTTTAAGCTGCGTGTGGTTACATCCTGTACGTGAGTGTGTGTGACTTTAGGTGTTTCAGAGTGTGTGTGTGTGTGTGTGTGTGTGTGTGTGTGTGTGTGTGTGTGTGTGTGTGTGTGGCTGTTCTGCCAGGTATCAGTAACAGTGGGAGCAGATCTGTGTTACTCTAATGCAGTCTGTCCTCTCTGGGTGTTCCTATGGAAACTCTCTCTCTCTCTCTCTCTCTCTCTCTCTCTCTCTCTCTCTCTCTCTCTCTCTGTATATTATTAGACATCCTCGCATCTCAGAATAGGAAGACACAGATCTCATCTATGGAGATACACTCGTTATGAAGCACCTCAACTCGCTCCTGTACATCATGGAAGACTCGCTTCTGTGAGAATATTTTTGGCTTTGGTGATTAGTAGAGGTGCAGACTCTTGCACTGGTCGGGTTCACGATTGATTAACTTGTAGGCGTCGGATCAATCACAGTGATCAGGCGGCTACTTCTTCTGCTGACACAAGCCTAAGGCATGCAGTGCAGATTTTTTAACATCAACTTCAGCTTTTAAACCCTGACAGTTCAGCTCACAATAGTTGTTATTATAATATAAAAGATAATGTTTTCCATTGCTCTTTTTCTTAATGTGGCAACTTTCAAAAACTGACAGACATGAAAGTGTTTTTTGGTCTACACTGGATTAGTACGCCATGTTTCACCTCTCCTCCGATCTTCAACCAGTCCAGTTGCCTTTGGATCAATCTTTAAATTTACCATGACCTGGGTGACTGAGAACCTACACAGACATACTGGATTATGAGTTTTATATAAAATGGTTTCACGTAAAATGGTCCCCTCAGAAAATAACTGAAAAAAATTCTGACGCTTCTAAACTTTTTAATACAAATGTTACTATGGAGAGTAAAATAATAGTGCAGCATCATTTAGTGCTCTTGAAGAAATCAAACATTCCACTAAGAATCGTGCAATTAACGAGACACTTCTGATGTTTCCTAACGTGTTCAAGTTACATCATGTAATACAAACAAGCAAAATAAACCACTGATTGAAGCCTCCACTTATTTTGCAATACGGTAAAAGTAAAAACAAATGTATAATTCTGCTCAATTCATCTGCTTCAAGTGATTCAAGGACAGCTCCATGAATTTCAACAACCTCTTTTGAATGCATTAGAGGCCACATTTGGTTTCTTTTTATTTGACTGTAAAGGAATAACATTGGGGAGGAAGACAAGGGAAACTGAAACATGAAAATATTATTTTAGTTAAAACCTTACTAAAATAATAAAGCACACATTTTCCTCCTCTCCCTTTAATCATTGAGCTGCTACGCCATGTTTAACTGTAAATATTATGCTTCCTCTATAACTTCTTCTTTGTTGTTGTTTCACTTTATTGATTTCATCAGTAAAGTGGGAAACAAAAGGAGGCACACATGAGAAGAAACCAACGACTTGAGTGCCAGCTGTTAATTGTTAACTCAGCCAAGGCAGCGTATAATTCTATAATAGACACAGAGTGTTCTACCTCTCCAGTCCAACAAGCGTGACTCCATGTGTCACTCCTCTATCGACTGAAAATTAGTGCAGTGACAGGAGGATGTGTTTGAGTGCATGTAGGTGTGATCTTTTTGACAGCAGGGTGTGCTCACACTGTGAATCACCATCTTTGCATACAATAGTTTGATGTGATTATATAACAAGGTGTACATGAGAGGGAGAATAGGATTATTTCTGGAGAGAATAGATGGTTTGTATTGTTTTAGAACCTGCTGCAGAGAGCTTTTATTTCTGCGAAAAGTCGAGAAAAATATTCACATTCTGCTGTTTTTTAATTTATGCTGAATGAGCTGGGATTTCACATGCAGTTAGAACCATTTAATCACTTCAAAATGTGGTTATTTCAAGGCTAAATGTACAAGATGGAGTTAAACAGAGCACAGTGCGGCAGGGTGTGTAAAAGTGAAGGCAGGCACGGACTGACCTCTGGAGTGGTAGTCTGCCGCTGCACTGCTGATGGGCGCTTTCTTTACAGCCGAGGAGCGATACACGACGTGTGTCCTTCCTCCTTTGCCCTCCTCCTCCTCCTCTTCTATCACTCCATCGCCCCTCTCCACCGGTTCAATGAAAAACTCCTCCTGCTCCATCCTGATCATACCAGCCTGAAAGAGAGGATGGAAAAGTTAATCAGTTGACATTAATTCATCAGTTGACGACTGAACTCTGGCATTGTGTTAATATGTGTCACTGCCTCATACAACAACACAACTCCAAAATCCTGCTCCTGTTTTGTTTGCTTCTCTGCCTCCATCTATGCTCATGTCCTATCTTGGTCTGACATTTAAAAAAAAAAAAAAAGCATCTTTTCTTCACTCTATTGCTGTTAGGGGCATGCCAGGAGAAAAGAAAAAGGAGGGGACAGCAGTGATCCCTCTCAGGGTCCAGGGGAGGCCTAGAGTGGCACCTGGCATCTAAAATGGCTAGCACAACAGCAGGAGATGAAACTGTTCCTCTCCCATCCTCAACTAACACGCTCTGTCAGGTAATTCCCCATGTCCGCACACACACACACACACACACACACACACACACACACACACACACACACACACACACACGAGACAGGCACAAACTCAGACTCACAGGGAAAGAGTGAAGCTAAGACACTGAACCAAAACATGCACGCAAAAAAAAAGAGTTGCTTGCACACACACGGGGAAAACAGGACTGGGAAAATTGCCCGTCACTCTTCCTTATTCCATCTGTCTGTTTAAGACAACTGGTAATTACCACGGCAACGCACTGCTGTAGAGGGAAGCCATGGGGGAGAACACGCAGAGAGGATGGAGAGGCTTTTGAGAAGGAGAGCGATAAATGAAGTCCAGAGAAAACATTGATATGATCAGCACTTGTCTGTGTCTCTTTCTGCTGATACAGGAAGGAAGACACGATGAGCAGCTAGTGAAAAAAAAAAAAGCACACACATGTACACAAAAGTATACATTACCCAGGAATGTGTGTTGAAAAGGTGTGTGGCTTAAAGTGCACCAAGTTCTGGTAAAAGACACTCAAAGTCTGAAATCCCACCCTGGGGCACAATGACAATGATATATCTCATTATATTGATCTATAACACACTTAATGCATATCACATTTTAACTTTATCCAGAATAAATATGATATAAATACAGTGTAAGTAGCCTTAAAGTGCTACACAATATGACATTCACGGAGGAAAATCTGAGTTTTTATAGAGAATAAAAGCTTGACATCATTTTCCTGAAACCTTCTTCCTACTCTGAATATTGAATGTACTTAATTCTATTTTGTAATTCCACACACATACCTCTGTTTATTGTTTTGGTTCTCCTTTATCTATTTGTGTATTTGCTGATTTTAATGCACTGTGTGTTCGTTTGTGTGTCTTGAGTTTTCCTTATACAGACTGTGTGGAATTCAGAGAATCCTTTTAGAACAAATCTGTGCAACATGTCGAGGTGTATTACAGTGGATTCTGTTAAACAGGTTTCAGGGGCTGGGCTTATCAGAAAACTGTCTGATGAACAATAGAAATGGGGATATAACACACACTGGTGCTTATTGAAATAATTACTTCTAATAAGTTGGTTTACAGGTTACAATCCTTCGTCACACTGGCCGCAGGATTCACTCCCAATCCTGACGCTTTTTGGAGTCTTGTCAACCCCCCCCCCTCCCCCGCCCCTCCACTCTCTTCTCCTACATTTCCTGTCACTCTATACTTATCCTATCCAAATAAAAGCAAAAAACCCCCACAAAAAAACATATACGTAACAAAATGATTTGCTCACATTTTTTTGAGTTCGCTTCTGCTGACTGAATGTCAAAGTCATGAAGGGTTTAGAGAATTATTTTATTTATTGTATTTGCTTTATAAGTTGCATTAAGTTTTACTGTCCAGGTCATCTATCACACTTTAATCAAAGTCATTTGACTTAACATAAATGTAAGAAACTAGATATATAATACACAAATAGCTCTGTGCATTATTCCTTTAAATATGTCAGGTGTCCACTGAGTGAAGTGTGGTCATGAAAGAGGTCATATCAGTGGCCATTACTGAATCTATGGTATCACTTGTCATCAACTGCACGGACCCACCACTGAGCCTGAACCAAGGTTTTCTTTATGTATTTATGCGCCTAGACCATACAAATCTATTCTTTTATGGACACAAGTATGCTTATTTAATCCTTTGAGCTTTGAGGGAAGTGGGGTATAAGAGCTTGTATGCTCCCTGAATACCTCAGAGAGGCTCATTTGAAAAGGAGAGTGATATTAGGAAAGAAGCCCCTCGGAAAGAGGAGAAGCTCTTTTTCTTGCCTTAACTCTCGCCATCGCCCAGTCCTCTCTCTCTCTCTTTCCCCCCTCTCTCTGTCAGTCAGAGCCTTGGTCCCGGAAGGATGTCGACAAGCCACTGACCTGCCCTCTCTCTCTCTCTCTCTCTCTCTCCCTTCCCCCCATTTTCTCTCTCTATCTCTCCACCTCTCTCTCCCTTCTCATCCCTCCATCTCCCCAAGTCGTGGTGCGGCATTCCGATCGGAGCTGATGGATCTGCGATGGTGCATGCATTCCCGCTCCAGAATACCAAGCAGTGGGGAGAGGAGTGCCGTGTCAAAGAAAAAGATGACATGTGGGACTGGGAGACATGGTAGGATCGATCGCAGCCGCCATAGAGGGGGTAGAGAGTGAGAAAGAGGGGGAGGTGTGAGGGAGCTAAGGTGGTGGACATGTCCTTTGGAAAGCTGAAGTGAATAAAAAGCATTTCATATTTTCCATCACTTCATTAGCGAGAGGCATTGTTTTCAGCTCCTCTAAGGAAGAGCAGCTCTAGTCGAGGGGATTGCAGAGAGTCCAAGAGTGTCACAGAAATTCAAAGATATCTAATTCTAATTGTCAGTACTCAAAGCCTCATGGGTTGAAGGGTCAAACTGAATGTAAAGATCAATCATAATGACGTAGTGTTTGTTGGGTCTTCATGTTTGTCTACATGTTTGTCACATATTAACGGATGCTTTTAACCATGTCCCCTAATAATGTAACTATAACTACTCTTTGGTGCTTTAATTCTTCTGCTAACCAATCAAATTGTACTTTGCTTCTATATTTACCAGATTCTCCTGTGCTATGGTGTGTTAAGAGGCATTTTAACCTCCCCAATATGTTCGGAAGACGATCGGGGGCCGCCCCTAATTTGATATCGTAATTGTTAAACGTGTTCAATATACACGATCAGAAATCCTGTTGTGTGGGAAGAATACCGAGGCCAGCTGAGCAAGGACTCTGTGAATTGATACGTGGAACTTAACAATAGCCAACAGGGAAGCAAGCTGACTGAAGCAGGAAGCACAACACACATTGCCATGGCGACAACAGTAAGCATAAAGTTAGATGGATGTCATAAAATTCAGGACCAACACGAGTGTTTACACAACATGTCCTTGAAAAGAAAACACAATCCAGCTGACAAGGAAAGGAGTTTGAAAAAAATATATTTTGGGTGTACCAGCTAACAGCTAGCCACATTTAGCTTGACCATTATGTTTGTTTATTCTTAAGCCACATTCTTTACCACGTTAGGTTACCCGTTTTGATAGTCGAGACTCTGGTTGTAGGTGAATGAATCGGTTAGTGTGTGGTGTGCTGAGTTGGATGTCTTGTTGCACACCACACGCTATCAGAACTGAACTGTTAATCTGTTGTGATTTGTCGTCATGTGTGGGCTCTCTCACATTTTCAAAATCGTTCAAGATTCAAGATTTTGAAAATCTTTTAGTGAGTGACAGGCCTCAGAATGATTCTTCCATGACTCTGCTGTTCAGGGATGTTGCGACATAAGCTGTCTTTTTGGCAGCTGTTCTTTGGTAACTGTAAATTCTTATAGCTCCTTTGGTTGATGAGAGTGACGTGTTAAAATGGCTTGAAAAGAGTTCCTCCTTGAGCACCAATGTTGTACCAGGAAAATGTGCCTCAGAATAACCCTGATTCAATTTCTATGTAAGACCAACAGCTCTTTCAAGAACTCTCTGGTCTAAAGAACCACTTTTTAAATAATTCAATTCATGGCTAGTTAGAAGCATGTGTGTATAAAGATCCTCACCCTCAAATATTAAAATATTTACTTGTGTTTTTTCAGGTCTGAATGCAGCCTTGGTGCCCCAACAGATTGCACGACATGGTCTGTTTTAACTTAGACATATAAGTAGTAATTATCTCGGTGCGTCTAGACGTACAATTTTGTTAGAAAAAGTATGATCACCAATAAATGTGTGTCTGAATGCCAGCTATAGAAGCTGGATGAAGTGACCGAGAAACAAGGTTATTGCTACAGGGGCTGCTACACACTGCTACAGAGAGGCAGTGCGCCAGAGGGGGTTCAGTGCCATGCTCAAAGGCACCTCGGCAGTACTCTGAAAGTGACCTGGCACCTCTCCAGCAACCAGACCAACTTCAATACTTTGGTCCGCACCGGGACAGGAACCGTCGATGGAATGTGACCATTTCAATGCCAGTGGAGGCTCTGAGTAAAGCAGATGAAGAGCTGACTTATTTAGTCTTCTCCACTGTCAATATTACTCTTTCATTCTCCTTCTGCTGTTATTGGACCTTGCAGTATGTTGATGCTTGTAAAGGGTTTAGAGAATTCTGATATACGTAGAAATAGGATTTGGTATAACTGTCCTTTCTTCTTCCTTGTCTGCCATGTCATCAGTCCTTGAGAAAAAATATATTCAGCTGCTGACACTGGCCTGATGGCTATAGCTTTTGTCCTGTCTGTCAGGTTGCTGATTCTACAGGTTCCACTGCTCACTTTTCACCTGCTCCCCTGGGATGACCAGTCCCTCCTGCTCTGTTGGCTTTTCCTCAAAGACCTGCTCCCTTCAGTGGCTATATTTCTTTTTATACTCACTGAAATAGTTTGATATTTTTGCATGTTAATATTTGTAATTCAAAGATTGTACAAAAATAATGGAAATCCACTGTTTAAAATGTATGATACAACGCTTTCAGTCTCACACGTAGGGCACACTATGGTTCTTTGTAATACATTCAAAAGACAAAGGGTGGCCGGCTTCCACTATTTTAGTAATCTTCCTTGAGCAATACATAGTTACAATAAATA